GATAGGATCGAACCCGCAGCCTTTTGGTATATGGGACAACACTACAACCAATTGAGCCCTTTCCTTTTAACGTGCTTTGAATGGCATTCCCTCCGAGGATATGGAAGACTGGGGGAAGATTGCTAATGGTACCCTACCCTTGGAGTGGGGTTTTGTATATTGCAAAACTCCACTTTACATAAAAGTGTACCTTTGTTATTAATCACATGTGTTTTTTATTTGTCCTGTCACTTGGAGTCCTCAGAGCTTTAAGGAGGGTTAGTACAAGGGTTTTTAGGAATGCAGACACTAGTACTTGACACTAAGTCCATTCATCCAGCTCCGTGCAAGGCAGTGCCTGCTGTGTGCTAGAAATCAGTGGTGCTCAAGGCAGACCATCAGGTAGAACCAATCGTCAGACAAAAGGGACACATGATTGTGATACTTGTTTTTTAGAAAGTAGGTAGGACACTGTGAAGGAATTGACACTGCGTCACCCCATAAACTCCTGTGATTGTGTGGTAGTTCCTAGATTTTATATTTGAGAAAACCTCCCAGAAAGGTTAAGTTTGGAAATCATTAGGATACCTTTAATCATAATTAGTTTCTGCCCAGGTCCTTTATAATATAGAGGATATTGAATACAAGTTAATTATTACATTTGTGTACAATTATTTTCTAAACTATTTTCTCATTTTCATAGCCTCTTTCTTCTGCTTGTCTGCCTCCTCTGTTAGCTTTCATTAGTAAATTTGTATAAAGTTACGGATTAGGAGTCTTAGGAAATTCTGAGAACAAACACATAATGTAGGTGTTTCACAACAACTACTTTGAGACTTAAAAGGCCCCCTTTGCTTTTGGAGATACGCAAGCAGCTGCTGGAAGACTTTAGTGTCCCATTAAGAGTTGTGCATTGTGGGAGCACCGACTCTTCTGTACATTGTTTGTTTTACTTTAGGACCTGAATGAAAAACTTGCCGAACAAGAATTAGAATTCCGCCGGCTCAGTCGGGAGCAAGTTGACAACTTTACCATGGATATAAACACTGCCTATGCCAGACTGAGAGGAATCGAACAGGCTGTTCAGAGTGAGTCTTCGGGCCTCTCACATCGTTATGAGGATGGTGGGATATATGCATCAACATGAGGGCACACAAGATGAGGTCACTGTAATAAACTTTATTAATTTGTTAGAAAATTAGCCCCAGATCTGGTAAATTTGGAACATAGAGCATTGTGGGAGGAAATTTCAAAGAATCTGAACACTAAAATAAGTTGACAGACATGAGCTTACCATTTATAATAGAAGGCAGTTTACCCAACATGCTTTGGTTGTCACGTGTCCTGATGGAGAAAAAGGTCAGCAAGATCACGTGCTTGCCTCCAGGCCATGTGACTGGCCTCTAGCCCTGTCATCTGGTCATGGCAATGTGCTGGTCCCACTCACCAGGTGGACCGTAGTTATGCCGAGGCCTCCACATTGAAAGGGAAATCTTAATAATGGAAATGTTGGTAAAAAGGGTTTCTTTGGGGTGGGTGTTATGGAAGCTTTTTTGTCAGATAAGTAGTCCATTAAGTATATTTGAAGTCTTCCATTCCTTTTTGGGAAGTTTTGGTGGTCTTAGCCTAATTTAAAAATATATTTTATTGATTTTGTACAGAGAGGAAAGGAGATAGTTAGAAACATTGATGAGATAGATATCAATCAGCTGCCTCTTGCACACCCCCTACTGGGGATGTGCCCGCAACCAAGGTACATGCCCTTGACCGGAATCAAACTGGTACCTTTCAGTCCCAAGCCAACGCTCTATCCATTGAGCCAAACCGGTCTTGGCGGCCTTAGCCTAATTTAAATGTTTCCTTCTCAAACATTTTACAGATAAACATCTGAATTACATGCCATGCACTGTCCTGGATGTCCCAGAAAGGAGACTGGGTTGTGCTTATGCACGCACATCTGTTTTCTCCAGGGCCTTAGGAAAAACAAGTCCTCACCCAATTGTCATGGCTCGTTGCCTCCCCTGGAGAGGCCAGCCAGGAAAGAACACTCCAGAAATAAGTGGTGGGTGGCTTGGAGGAGGCTTTGTGGTCCCAATTTCCCCATGTGTGGATTTAGCTTATTGAAGGTACATCATTTCTCTGCATGTAAGGATATTAATCGAGTGGAAAGAAAAACGTGTCTTTGCCTTTGTTTTCTTCATAGGTCACGCGGCTGCTGAAGAGGAGGCCAGAAAAGCCCACCAACTCTGGCTCTCGGTGGAGGCACTCAAGTACAGCATGAAGACGGCATCTGCAGAACTGCCCACTGTCCCGCTGGGTAGTGCCGTCGAGGCCATCAAAGCCACCTGTTCTGATAGTGAATTTGCCCAAACTTTAACCGCAGCGATCCCTCCCGAGTCCCTGACCCGTGGGGTGTACAGTGAAGAGACCCTTAGAGCCCGTTTCTATGCTGTCCAAAAACTGGCCCGGAGAGTAGCAATGATTGATGAAACCAGAAATAGCTTATACCAGTACTTCCTCTCCTACTTGCAGTCCCTGCTCCTATTCCCGCCTCAGCAACTGAAGCCACCAGTGGAGCTCTCCCCTGAGGATATAAACACGTTTAAGTTACTGTCATATGCCTCCTATTGCATTGAGCATGGTGACCTGGAGCTGGCAGCGAAGTTTGTCAATCAGCTGAAAGGGGAGTCCAGACGAGTGGCGCAGGACTGGCTGAAGGAAGCCCGGATGACTCTAGAAACTAAACAGATAGTGGAAATCCTGACGGCGTACGCCAGCGCTGTAGGAATAGGAACCACTAGAGTGCAGCAAGAGTAAGCCTCAGGAGTTTTGTCAGAGGAAGCCAACAGTGATACATGAAGGATTAGCAGCAGGGTCCCAGAATTGTCTAGAAAGGGGCAGGTTACAAATGCTGTTCTAAATGTTAACACCTGTTGCATTTATTTTATTTCCACTTGCTATCATGTCAGTGAACTCCAGGAGTACTTCCTTTGCAACTTGTGTAATAACATTTTCTGTTTTTCAGGTTTTACTGATCAGGCTTGTGAGCCAATCAAAATGATGTTTGTGATCCCTATTATATTTGATTTTGCCCCTGGAGCAAACTGAATAAAACAGATGAAAACTGAGTAGCTTATCCCTTTTTAAAAAGTATCATTTCTAGCTTGTATGTATAGAAAACTTCTTTGAGAAGCAGCAACAGCAGAGGTAGGAAGTCCTTTGCACTCAATTCTGGGCTGCGAGTTGGGGCCCAGAAATCCGAGTTCTTAGTGATAAATTCATTCCTGCTGGTCAAACTCAAGAGTAATGTACAAGCCAAAATGCCAAATATATGTAGATGTAGATTGTTCCAGTGATTGAAAGGCACTAGAAATTTAGGGTGCCCCCTCCCAAAATGTATACACATTTAACAGCTGATATCTCAATTTTTAAAATGAACTGTATGTTAATAAACACTGACTTTATAATCATTCAAACTGTATACATTTTTTTGGGGGACATCCTGCAGTATATATCCCAAAATTTTTGATTGGTACTACAGGAAAGTTATGTTTTATTTTGGGACCCGACACAGTGTACCATTTGGTATTTGGCCAAGAGAGGTCTTTGTAAGAACCAAGGGAAAGGGTTGAGTTAGCAGAAGCTTCCAGGTAGCCAGGTTCTTCTCCTTGGAGTTGCAAACCAAGACCAAAATGCTAATCTCAAATCTGTCCTTCGGCTCATTTGCTTTGATGGGTCAAGGAGCTAATGACATAATGCACATGAATGCATAAGCAGCTAACTACTGTGACCCACCCCCAGTCCCTCAGGTGCTTTAAAATGACATTCTAGGAGAAAACATGAGCCAACACTTAGGTGTCTGAGGACAGGAATGGTCCCTGGCCTAGTGAGGATGGTCGAGTTGGGATCAGACAGGAACACAGTGCAGTGCCTAGGAATGGCAGTCCTGGAAGGGAGCATGAAGGTGCTCACCTGCGGTAGAGAATCCCTTGGGAAGGTAAGCACACTCACCCAAGCTTCCTGTTTATGTCAGCTTCCACATTTCAAAGTCATGATGGTAAGAGACAGATGCTAGAAGCAGAGGCAAGCCTAACTTGATTACAGCAACACACTGTCATGTTTAGACATTTCAATCAGTTTGTCCGGACAAGCCCATTTATTTCAGAGAGAGAGGGGGAGGGGAAAAACATCAATGATGAGGACTGTTGATTTACTGGCTGCCTCCTGCACACTGGACCAAGCCTGCAACCCAGGCATGTGCCCTTGACCAGAATTGAATCTGGGACCCTTCGGTCTGCAGGCCGATGCGCTACCCACTGAGCCCAACTGGCTAGGGCAGGACAAGCCCTTTTAGACATTGTGATTACAGCACAGCATAGGTGCCCAGACGAAATGAGGACAGGAGAAAGGGGGGCATGGAACACAAGCCCCGCCTGGGGGAAGACTGGCAAAGGCTATATAACAATGATGGAAACGCATACACATGGACATTGGCTATTTATTTACAGCCTTCATTTTCCCAGTTGTGCAGTCTAAACACTTGCCATTGTCATTTAATTGATTCTAAGATGTACAGTTTTCACCCATATAAATATCCCTGAAATTGAGATATTAACCCAGTATCAAGTGATGTAATTGTAGGCAAACCTTTAGACACCTCTAAGGAAGTACCAGCATCACAGCATCAGCTGACAGAAGCTGAGTTCAGTACAGGGCGAATGAACCACACTGTGAAGCAGTGTCAGGTCGCAGGCAGCCCCACAGGTGTGCAGAGATGCTGCAATCAGGAGCTATGCGCCTTACAATGTGGATCCAAAGAACAAAATGGTAGCGCTGCTTCTGTTTAAATCATAATCTTGAATGGATGCTTTGGAAAGTATCAAATACGGAATAGAACCTGTAAATAGGTTAGTGCTGTAGCAATTGTATTTCAAAGTTCACCAAACCTATATTCTTGTTTCATTCACATCCTGGTCAGTTAACATCCTACGCTTGGCCACAGCTTCCTGACTGAACCACTTTTATTTGCCTCCACTGATGTCACTGTCGCTGTCACTGCTGCTGTCACCATCACTGTCATAGGCAGTCAGATGTCCCAGGGCTTCCCTGTAAGGAAAATAAACGCATTGCACTGCAATTCGGTCTTGGGGAGGGGAATTCTGCTGCTTTACTAAACCATATTAACAAAGGAAAAGGGTCCTCCAGCCAAATATACAGGGTTCCCTGACCCGTACAAACTGAAACTGTTGTTAAATCAACACTTGCTGACGCTTTGCAAAGAAAGGAAACCAAAGGGGTGGTAGAAAGCTATAACATTTGAACGGGCAGATTCAGATTTGACCATTTGAATGGTCTGCTCCATCCTGATAATGTCCCCTCCTGGGGCCAATACAGTAGCCACTTACTTTTGCTCCTGGCTGAGTGCAAAGTCAGCCATCACTCTCTTGGTGAGGCTCTCACAAACAGGTAAGCTGAAGGCACTCGCCAGCTGCACTATCTCAATGGCCTGGGCAGGGCTGTTGGATGCTTTCGCACTGTCCATAAACTCATTCAGCAGCTCGCTCCTGCAAAGGAAAGGCAGGATGTCAACATTCCTCAACTGAACCCTAACCACCCACTCACAGCTGTATGTGCAGAATCCAGCATCTTGGAAAGTACAATCATAAAAATCTTCAACTAGAGATTTGGAGGCAAGGTTGCATGAAGTCTCATGTTAACGGGCCAAAGAAAATGAATAGACGCTGTGCCTTTCCTGGGGGCTGGTCAATGTCGCCCTGGTCACAGGCAATAAGCCCACGCCTGCCTGGAGGGGAGAGCGACTGTCCATGTGCTTGCCTGTCAGCAGAGCGGCCAACTGCTGCGGCTGGGGTGCGTGAAGAAATTCCAATCATCCCACAGAAGGTAAGCCCATTTGAGGATGTACCTAGGCAGGCAGGCCTGTTACCTTCAACTTACCGAGGGATCTTCTTATGCTTCCTGAAAAGCCCCAGCATTTTCCTGTTGGAGAGGAAGAGAAAGGCTATGAAGCTGCGGAACTGAAGGCAGTCCTCAGAGATGAGCTGTGCTTCCACCTCAGATGTGAGCTCCATGGCTCTGGCCGTGTCTGTCCATCACTCACCTCAGGGGCTTCAGCGGCCTCCTCCCAAACCTCATGTGTGTACCTGACAAGTTTCTCTGGCAAGTCTGAATGTTGCTGCAGAGAGCTGCGGGGTATGTCCTCTGGGAGGACCCCTGCAGCCCTCAGGGAGGGGATGCATCCTACAGGCTAGAAGAGGGATGCACTAGACTGTGACCTCCCAGCTCTCTTGCCATCCAGTAACAGCTCCGTGTGTTCTAAAATTACATATGAAGAGCAGGCTCAGATCGAGGCATGTCTCATGTACATGCTCGCCACCACCCTGCCACACGCAGAATGGAGGAGAAACACATACATTCAGCTCCCATGATTCAGCTGAGGTCCGTACCCCTGCGCCAATCATCACAGCCTGATTCATAACAAGTGTGTCTCAACCTGCCTGAGGTCACAAATCGGAGCGTCAGTCTCTGACTAGCAGCAGAGGTCATGTGTGTGATCCTCTGTCCTGGAGATGGTGCAGTTGTTCACATTAAGCTCCTTTCTTATGCTGAAGCAGCGCGCACGGTATGCCTCTCACTAACTCTCAGAACTAACATTCCCATCCAATGGGGATGGCACCTACATAGGATTCTTTTGCTGACTCCTCCGCAGAAGGGCTCCAAGCACAAACACTGAAATTAGTGTGGCACAGAGCAAAGGCAAGCTCTGGTCAAGGCATATTTAATACATCCTGGTAAATGCCACTGTCCTGAAATCCAAGGCCACAGTCTACATTTTCAGCTGGGTTGTAGGTGAAATACTTGAATAAACCAAATGCCCAAAACACTTGCAAAAATACAATTAATCGATCACTTCACTCTATCCAAGTGGACAGACAAGTGACTTACTTGCCCAGACAGGTCATAATGGAAAGAAAATTAGCCCCCTGTTCTCTTACCCACATATAGTGAGAGGTCTTCTTCCAAAAGTTTGCTTTTCAGTTTTTTTTTTGCAAGTTCTCATAGAAAAACCTTTTGATTCCTGATAAACAATACATCATACAGCCAAATCTGAGACTCTCCTAACCAGGGTGAATGTCTGCTGAGATGCAAGCACAGTGCTTCCAGCTGCCACGCGTGGGAATGGACTCACCAGGCGTCCTGGGTCCTCCCGGCCCGGAGGAAGAGGACAGCGGTGCAGTTCAGAGCGCTGGCCGGCCAGTGCGGAGCAGTCTGCCTGGCATCCTGACTTTCGAAAGTAGATTTGATGTCCGCGGCACAGTCAGCGAACGCCTCCTGAAGCTGAAAAAAAGGTTGCACAGTCAGAACTGCTAACTGGTTTGGTGAGAACTGAAGTTCAAGAGACTCCAGAGGACCAAGAACAGCGTCTGAGCAGTGCCCCTAACCATTTGAACACATCGCATCCGTAGCACACAAGTAAAATGGAAAAACCAAGCGCCTGCCCTGGGGTAAGGCAGCGCCTTCTTTCTAGACAGACGTTCTAGTTTCATGCGAGCTGCTACCGCCAGGACAGAAAGAAGCCACTTTCATGTTGCTTGTTCTGGATGACAGGAACAAGAGTGGCTTATAGAACTGGTGTTCTGCTAACAGCTGGGGAAGTTGAGGTGTGTAATTCAAACCTGGGTGTAGATGGCAGAATTCACTAAAATGTCAGATGGAGTCAGAGAAGGTACCCTCCGGGGCCCTCAGTGTCAGAGCATACACCCATGCTGACATGCAACGGGCACACACCTACCTCTGCAGGCTGCCGATCCCTGGCCATCAGCACCAGCATCTCTTCTTTCAGTTCGCTGCGGAAAGCGTGACCACATTCTTTACTATCTTGAAACAAAAAAGGAATGCAGAGGGAAGTGATCACCATCATGGACGGCCAGTCCGCTCCGGCGGACTTTACCTATTGTCAGCTGTCACCCATACTTTCAGTGGGTAAACTTAAGCTGCTGACATGATCTATTCCAGGTTTATTTCAGGCAAGAAATGCAGAAAACTAGCCGCTGGTCAGTTTTAACAGTGGATAAGAGACCAGCGAAAGCTAAGCCTGCTTCTGGCCCAGTGTTAACACAGCAGGCACACTACACTTGAGCTGCACCAGCTCTAAATGGTAAGATCCTGTTTTATAGCATTTAAGAATTGCCAGTGACCTTTTATATATAATCTTTAGTGCAGGCTTATAAGTAGAAGGGCAGGGCTATAGCCTCAGTGTCTCAGACATGGAAACTTGAGGCAGATAGAAACTTACTTTATGATCAGCATCTTCTGTGGCCAGTTCATACACATACCCTCCACTCTTCCCAACACCCCCCCCCCCCCCCCCCCCCCCCCCCCCCGAATCAGGGCTGTTTCCCAGAAACTTAAGCATCACTGTCTGCCTAGGAAGAGAACCAGTGGTGAAAAGAAACATGGCAGAGAGGGACAGACCTTGGGGTTTGAAACCTGCATTTACTTTTAGGGTGTGCTACATAATTAGCATGGATTCTAATCTTCCCTTTGTCTTATCACACAACAGGTACACAAAACCTAGCCTATTCCTGTCGCTAAGGAACTACTTTAGGCCATTTAAAAAATATTTTACTCATGCAATTTAATATGCAACATAAGCAAGTGATTGTGAAATAAAACTACTAATAAATTTAGTTTAAAATGTAAGTTTCCATCTCTAACAATGTTACATGTTTGTTAACCACAATGCAGGACAAGGACGTCAGATGGGTCTGGACACACAGCTGCACTGACCTTTCCAAATCTGAGGGATCATGTCCAGCCTGTTGGCCACATCCAGTGCCTGGAGCAGATCGATCAATGTTTGGGAATGGGGGAAGAAGACCTGGTTAAGAGAAATACAAATACATTAAAAAATATTAACCAGCAAAGGTAACAAGAAAGACATATACAATGACCCATGAGAAGTAATGAACCATCTTACCGAAGGTATCAGGTCCTTATACCATTGCAAGGTGATGTCAATTTGTTCCATGAGACAAAGCAAACTGAAGAACTTGGAACTGCAATGAATAAGTATGTTTAGTCTGAAGTCCCTAACAAAAGCAGAACGATTAAATTAAAGCATCATTGTATGAGAATGTGACACAAAATTTACAAATAATTGATATATTACAGAAAAATTTCAAGTAAAATGGGCCCATGCTTAATCCAGAAGGTGCTAACTGCTGTCCGGCCTTCCTGGTGAATACCGCTCACCCCCACTGGCCCTACAACTGCCGCCTCTCGTATTCTTAGAGGCTCACGGGGAGTGGACAGTATCAGATTCACTTTAAAGATTCAGTGTGGAGGCCGAAACCGGTTTGGCTCAGTGGTAGAGCGTCGGTCTGCGGACTGAAAGGTCCCAGGTTTGATTCCGGTCAGGGGCATGTACATTGGTTGCGGGCACATCCTCAGTGGGGGGTGTGCAAAAGGCAGCCGGTCGATGTTTCTCTCTCATCGACATTTCTAGCTCTCTATCCCTCTCTCCTCCTCTCTGTAAAAAATCAATAAAATATATTAAAAAAAATTAAAAATAAAGATTCAGTGTGGAGAATGGATTGGGCATACAGAAGACAATCACCACACACCTAGTAACAAGCCAATTCCTTAAGTCCTTGTTTTTATCTGGCTAAAAGAAAATCCATTTAAGAAGCCTCACTGTGCCCTGGCCGGGTGGCTCAGTTGGTTGGAGTGTCGTCCCGTACACCAAAAGGTTGTGGGTTGGATTCCCAGTTGGGACGCTAAGGGAGACAACTAACGGATGTTTCTCTCAGGTCAATGTTTTTCTCCCTCTCTCTAATCAATAAAAACATATCCCCAGTGAGGTTTAAGGGAAAGAGGGATGAAATCTTTAGGGACCGTCACTGCTGTAAAGTTAAAAAATATAAAATAGGAGGGCTTAAGGGAAAAAGAGGTGTGTTTAATGTCACAAAGGAACTCAGTGCGGCCACCAGCTTTACTTCCCAGGGCTCCACCCACACATACTGCTGAGTCAGGGCCATGCTGCCTGAAATCAGAAACGAGCAGGGAGGGCCACCACCAGCCTCCCCCGCACAAATTCACCTACACGATGCATGAAGGTGCTCCATCAATGCCAAAGGATACAGATCAACACACTTACTAATAGAAATTACGCCGATGATCCGGTCCAATGAATTTCCGGTTGTCTCCAGTGTTTAAAAGGCCATGAACTTGGTAAGCAAGTTCTAGATCTCTGAGAGAGGAGCACTAAAAATTTGTAGGTAATAAGCATCATTCTTAGAGATTGTTAGCAGCCAAACACCCACTCATTACGTTAAAAAACAGTATAGTTACTTGTGGGAACCTTTATGCTGATTCAACATATCAGTAGTTGACACCAAATGAGATAAAAGAAATTGGGGGAAGGGGCAACCTTAAACCAACCCCCAAGTTCTATGAAATTTAAAGCAAAATGATTTTGACCTAGTAAGTATATCTTTAGAAATCAATCCTATGAAAACACTAGGGCCCTTGAGAGACAGTGTACAAGCAGAGAGCCCATGAAACGACCCAAACCCAGCACAAGAAGAGAGCTGAGTAAACTGGTCCTTCCGCCTGTGAAACCCTGAACTGCTATGAACAAACACAGCACATGGAAATGTGTCCATGTGCACTCTGCATACGGAGGCAAAGCCCAGAAGGACACACACTAAACTGTGAAGCGATGCTCCTCAGGGAGCAGGATATGCTATTTATTCTGAAGCTGCCTAAAGGTTTTCCTATATTAGCAGGATAAAATGAGAAAATAATTTAATAACAGCCACCATCAGTGTAAAATGTTACCAAAAGGCAAATATGAAATACTCTAAAACCTTATCTGAACAAAGGTATAAAAAAAGACAAGAATACAATAAACAAAGGGTAGAGTTATAATGTGATTTAGTACGGATTTTAGAAAAAGGAAGAGCCAAAGACATCAACAGGCCTGGCAGGTGTGGCTGAACGGTTGAGCGTTGACCCATGAACCGGGGGGGGTCATGGTTCGATTCCAGACAAGGGCACATGCCTGGGTTGTGGGCTCGATCCCCAGTAGAGGGTGTGCAGGAGGCAGCAGGTCAACAATTCTCTCTCATCATTAATGTTTCCATTCCTTTCTCCCCCTCATCCTTCCTTTCTGAAATGAATAAAAACATTTTTTTTTTTTTTTTAAATAGACATCAACAGAAGAGTCCGGAAGAAAGAGAATCAGGTAGAGGCCTCTCCCACCACTTCAATCACAGACGAATTTAGGAAATGGGTTAAAAGAAAAAGTTAAATAACAAACAACAAATGATACTTACAACTTTCATGGCTGACTGAAAAAACATATCTGAAAATAAAAATTCAGAAGAGCCTTGGTTATGCTAGATAAAATATATTTCAAGTCATTAATAAAAATCATAACAAAAATAGAGCAATGTTTAAGATAAACCTGAAGGAATAAAAACGCAAGTGGGGGTGGGTGGGGTAGGAGGATCCAAGATGGAGGCGGAGGTAAACACCTAAACTCCTGTTTCAAAACTACAACTAAAAGACAGGACATCTGCTGAAACCGGTTTGGCTCAGTGGATAGAGCCTCGGTCTGCATACTAAAGGGTCCCAGGTTCAATTCCGGTCAAGGGCATGTACATTGGTTTTGGGCACATCTCCAGTGGGGGTGTGCAGGAGGCAGCTGGTTGATGTTTCTCTCTCATCGACGTTCCTAGCTATCTATCCCTCTCCCTTCCTCTCTGTGGAAAAAGCAATAAAAATATATTTAAAAAGAAGAAGAAGAAGAAGAAAAAGACAGGACATCTATCACCCAGAACCACAGGAAAGCTGGCTGCGTGGAGGGTCTAGAACTAAAGGGAAAGAGAAGAGCATTGAGATATGCACAAGTGCTGAAAAGCTGAGATGCGGAGGCGCATGATCTGGACTGGTGGTGGGCGTTGTTTTTTTTTGACCCGAAGGGTGACAAGCTCCGATTACTCGAAATCCAGTTTTCTGGGGAGATGCGGGGGGCCCAGACTGCTACGGGGAGAAGCTGGACTGTCTGCCATCGGGTCGGAAAGTGAGGGTGGCTTGCTTGCAGAGCTGCCCGCAGGTTTAATTGTTTGCTGTGTTGGGGTGCAGGACGCGGTCTGAGAAGCAGAGACGGCCGATTGGCAGCCATCACTGTTTGCCATGCCCTAGCCTAGTGACTCTGAGACCCTGCCCTGCACAACCCACAAACCCACTCAAGCTCCAAGCAGTGGCTTTTGCATGTGAATGGCCTGCCCTATCACAGCCCGGGTCAGACAGATCCAAAACCTCCAAACCCCCATCAAAGAGGAGAAAACTGTAGTTCTTGCTGTAGCTCCTGCTGGGTGGCCTCAGATAGTAGCCGACCTGCACCCCATTGGAGATCCAGAAGCCAATGTACCTAATGGTCAGTGTGAGACACCAGATTTCAAATCCTCACATACATAAGTGACACATTCAAGAGGCAGCCTCAGTGAGCACCAAAGCCCCACTGAAATAAGTCCTGCACCGTAAGCGTGTCTCTAGCACAGCAGTTCTTCCATTATAAACGGCGGGTCCTCACAGCCAATTGGCCTGGAGGTCCATTCCTCCCAGTGTATCAGTAACTACAGACTTTGCACTCAGACCACAAAGGGGTGTACCAAGAGCGTCTACCTCAGGTGACTGGGGAGGCTGAGCTACTGGCCCTTATAGGTCACCTACCACACAAAGCCACTCCATCAATACAGGGAAGCAGCCAAAATGTGGAGACAAAGAAACATGTCACAAAAAAAAGAAATGGAGGAAAGCAAACTACTGGATGACATAGAGTTCAAAACCACATTTATAAGTTTCCTCAAGAATCTTCTAAAAATGGCCAAGAAATTTGATGAGACCTTCAAGGACCTTAATAAGAAGGCAAAAAAAATGAAAAAGAACCAGTCAGAAATTAAGCATACACTGTCTGAAGTAAAGAATATACAGAAACTCAATTGTAGATCAACATAACCCAAGAATCAAACCAAAGTACAGAAATGTGAGGAAACAAAAAACACCCAACCAGAAAAAGAAAAAGAAAAAAGGATCCAAGAATATGAAGATAGTGTAAAGAGCCGTTGGGACAACTTTAAGCATACCAACATTTGAATTATTGGGGTGCCAGAAGAAGAGAGCGAGCAAAATATTGAAAACCTACTAGAAGAAATAATACAAAAAACTTTCCTTACCTGGTGAAAGAAATAGACTTACAAGTTCAGGAAGTGCACAGAACCCCAAACAAGAGGAACCCAAAGAGGACCACACCAAGACACATCATAATTAAATGCCAAGGGCAAAAGACAAAGAGAGAATCTTACCAGCAGCAAGAGAAAAACAGTTAGTTATATACAAGGGAGTACCCATTCGACTGTCAGCTGATTTCTCAAACAGAAACTATGCAGGCTAGAAGGGAGTGGCAAGAAATATTCAAAGTGATGAACAGCAAGAACCTACAACCAAGATTATTCTACCCAGCACACCTATTATTCAGAATAGAAGGTCAGATAAAGAGCTTCACAGACAAGAAAAAGCTAAAGGAGTTCATCAACACCAAACCAGGATTACATGAAATGCTGAAGGGTATTCTTTAAGAAGAGGAAGAAGAAGGTAAAGATAAACATTATGAACATCAAATAAATACCTACCAACTAGTGAGTTTAAAAATGCAGTGAATAAAAAATCTGATGAACAGAATGGACTGATGAATATAATAGAATCAGGGACATAGAAAGGGATTGGACTGACAATTCTCAGGGGGAAAAGGGTGTGAGGGGTGCGGGAAGAGAATGGACAAAAATCTTATACTTATGGATGAAGACAGTGGAAAGGGGTAAGGGCATGGGGTGGGGAAATCAGGTGGAGGAGAGCCATGAGGGGAAAAAAAAAAGAGAAACACTTGTAATAATCTGAATAAAGATTTATAATAAATAAATAAACAAACAAAAAAAACCACACAAAAAAACGCAAGTGGGGAGGAAGCACACAGCACAGTTTACATATAATGTGGCTTTCTCCGAATAACCACCCAAAACACGACTGAGCTCAATGAAACCCTGTCACACTAAAAGGCCTCTGGTCCCACAAACAGAAATCAAGCTCTTGGACATACCATCATCTGGGTCCTGTGGCGAGAACTTCTTTCCCACGATTTCGTTCATTATGTCATAGATCACCAGGGAGGAGCCTTTTGAAGCATTTTCTGCAGAACAAGAAAGCAAATGAGTTTTCATCACGAGTCCACTTCCTGCACCACCTGCCAAGTGCAAGACACCGTGCACCAGGTTGGCCAGGGCTCCTGCTGCTCAAGGAACAAAAGTGCCCACAGAGTGAAACGCTCCGTCAGGTCTGGGACGGTCACAGGTCGTTGTCCATGTGCTCCTGACAGAGACATTTCCCTTCTGTCTGTCTCCACTTCAATGAATCATCTCAGCTTACTATTCGTTAAGGTGGAGACAGATGGACATACACACACAAACACACCTTCACCAGGAGAACATACTTAGAAAATAAACATGGCTTTTGCCAGTCATCATTTTGTGTTCCTTTTAGGTATAATCAGGATGACAAGTTCAAGAAAAAGAAAACTACAGTTAATGGATATGGGCAGATCTTTAAAATCACATGACCCAAGTATTAATAGGTCAGAAAATGCATCTCTACTACATGTGGAATATTCCCAAATATGTCACACTCTATCCACATTTCCTTCCATACCTTATCCACATGCAAGTGAAAATAATTTTAATGATATATATTTTTAAAATATATATCTTACTGTTTTTTTACAGAGAAGAAAGGAGACGGATAGAGAGAAATATCAATGAGAGAGAAACATTGATCAGCTGCTTCCTGCACACCCACCACTACTGGGAATGTGCCTGCAACCAAGGAACATGCCCTTGACTGGAATCGAAACTGGGACTCTTTAGTCCGCAGGCCGACGTTCTATCCACTGAACTAAACTGGCTGGGGCACAGATGTATTTTTTAAATTCCGTGAAGCACGTTTCCATTTGTTAGCAAGCTTAAGTACTTTATTTCTAATGGTATTTCTAATCGTACGCCAACCTTGAGAGCACATTTAATGACCCCTCCTTTCCCGCTCGTTTTACATTTCATCACAAACAAGGATACCACATTCAAGAATTTTTGTTCGCCGGGACCGGTTTGGCTCAATGGATAGAGCGTCGGCTTGGGGACTGAAAGGTCCCAGGTTCGATTCCGGTCAAGGGCATGTACCTTGGTTGCGGGCATATCCCCAGTAGGGGGTGTGCAAGAGGCAGCTGATCGATGACTCTCTCTCATCAATGTTTCTGACTCTCTATCTCTCTCCCTTCCTCTCTGTACAAAATCAATAAAATATATTTAAAAAAAAAAAAAAAAAAAAAAAAAAAAGAATTTTTGTTCAGATTGTAGATTAATCTGTGAATTCTCTGTTCTTAATTCACATGTGGAAGAAAGCCTACAACAATTAACCGCATAAACTTAAATACGTTGGATCAATTTTCTACATAAATTAATGTAACACAATGTCATACATACCATTTTGATAAAACAGCTGAATAATATAGTGATATGTTGCAAGTGAGGGTTCTCCAATTTCAGGTGCATAGAAAAAAAAAAAAGAAAGAAATGTCAATCACAGCTATCCAAAATATAGCTTACAAATGATACATTTCTATTCCTTTGAACAAATCTGATTAAGGAAAAGGTGAAGAGGTATCATAAAGATTGAATCACTTGTAGAGAGCCCAGCCACTATTACTAAAATGTTATCCCGAATGTACTTCACTTAAAAAGACTAAAGCAGCCTGCTGGTATGGCTCAGTGGTTGAGCATTGACCTACATATCAGTAGGTCAGTTCAATATCTGGTCAGGGCACATGCCCAGGTTGTGGGCTCGATCCCCAGTGGGGGACACATAGGAGGCAGGTGATCAATGATTCTCTTGCATCACTGATGATTCTATCTCTTTTCTCCCTTTTCCTTCCTCTCTGAAATCAATAAAAAAATTAAAATAAAAAGTGCTGGAAGCCAATTCCAGCATGTCATAATTACAAGAGCTTCAACTTGGGGGCTCAACAAGGGCTGAGTCACATATGCAATTACCTGTTGGAACAGCTAAAAGGCACTTCCCCCAAATCTGAATAGGATGACTGTTTGCTACCAGACAGCTCAATGCATCTTAATCTACATATTATTGCCTCTGACAATGCTTCTATATTCTACCCTTTGAAGTGTTATTGTCTCCACCTTTCCTTAGAACAAATTGTGTTAATAAAAAGCAGGGGTCGAGACAATGGGAACAAAGAACAAAGTAGTAATAACTTGAGACTTTTGCTCCTTTACCTGAAGCTCCTGACCCCCCAATGCCTTTCAAAATTATCATTCATCTTTGGACTCTTAATCTACATGCAGCCTTTCTCCAGATTGCTGAACCTAAAAACACACTAAAGCATACCAATGTGAACGGATTCCTAAAACAACCCTCAATAAAGTAATTATAGAAAGATATACAACACATCGGCACATAGGTTCAAACACACTTATGCTAGAAAATGTTCTGGGATTTAAAACTAGCTAACTATAAGTGAACAATTCTTACCATAAAAAAGTACCTAAAATACTAAAAGAACGTTGTAGTCTGCTATAAGGAAAATGGAGACAACAAGGGTTCTCCCAACATGTAAATGCTTATTATATGCACCATGTGGAAAGGGAAATCCCTAAATATTGTGTAAATGGAAAAAAGAACATAGTTTTCCCTTTGCTTGTCTGGACCTGAAACTTCTCATCAGCACTATCTTGGTCACTAGGACGCATCCTCACCTATTCCGATGGCTTTCATTTCACGTAAGGTCTGCAAGGCTGGCGATTTTCCAAATGCATAAAATCTTCGAAGACATTTCAGAATGGTATTAAAAGTCTGTAGATTTGGTGTTACCTTCTGTGCAACCATTTGTTTCAGCAGCTCCTAGTTGAATGAAAAGCAGCAAGTATTTTTTAAGCCTGTGTAGATAACTTGTCCAATAAAAAAATATATACTAAAAAAAGAACTTGACTCTCTGGCTATATATATCTAAAGCAGGTTACTATATTCCTAATTTAAGAATTACCCATTAGTGAGTGAGAATAGGGTTAGTCACCCCATCTCCACCTGACCAAGGTGTCCAGTTGTATTCAGTGCTCTGCCAGGGACTCAAGCAAAAAAGGAGACTAAAAATTGGACTGTGCCTTTTTCTTTTTTTAAATGAGTTGTATGGTATAAAAGATGTTTCAACCCAATCCAGCAATTTCACTTTTATTAAATTTATGTGGTAATTTTTTAAATATATATTACTATTGCAATAAAAAACCTATTATGGGAAATAAATGAATAAAGGAACCTGGTCTTCCTGAATTCTAGCTGTATGCTCTGGACAAAGTAACTTTCTTCTCACTGTCAGACACAGGCAACAGGTGGCAGGGTTGGCAGAAGGTGTGAACAAGGAGCCACCCTCTGAGAGCCCAGCAGCGACTGCCACGAAGATGCTCATGAATTTCTCCATCCCACGTATTTCTAGCAAAGGCTATTTCAGGCCTATGTAAGGACACAAGAGCTTCTCCTTACCAATATATTATTCCACTTTTCATCAAATTTCTCATTCATCACTGCTGTTGCTTCAATCAATGAATTGAAGGTATATACATCGGCTGTAAAAAAAAACAACAAAAAGTTGGGGGGTGATTAACACCTAAATCACTCAATTTAAGGCAAACTGAACATGCATGGGTGGCTCCTGTTTCATTATGACGTGTCCACAACAGTAGAAACCCACCCTCTCACCTGGCTCTCTACTCCTATTTCAAGCATCAATACCACAGGAAAAAAATTAAAAGTGACACAATGATTGGGTCAAGACCCAAAGATTTTACAGATTCTTGAGAGAAGGAAAGGAGAGGAGATTTTGCCAAACACTGACCATGGAGTCTGTTGTTCAGTAATTCAGCGTACATGTTTAGTGCCTCCACAGGAGCTCGGTGCTGGAAGAGGGGAAAAAATTAAGCTTCCTCAAATGCATTCACATTCAAGAAATATCTGCATGTCTCCTGGTCTGAGGTTTGGTGACACAGCAGTGAACAACACAGACGAGGCTCTAGTTCTCAAAAAACTCATGCTAACGCCGAAACCGGTTTGGCTCAGTGGACAGAGCATCGGCCTGTGGACCGAGGGGCCCTGGGTTCGTTCTGGTCAGGGGCACGTACCTTGGCTGCAGGCACATCCCCAGTAGGGGGTGTACGGAGGCAGCTGATCGATGTCTCTCTCTCATCGATGTTTCTAGCTCTCGATCTCTCTTCCTTCTTCTCTGTAAAAAATCAATAAAAATATTTAAAAAAAACAAAAAACTCATGCTAGTGCAGTGGCTCTTGGCAAGGGGCCATCTGTCTCCCAGGTCCCATTCCAGCACTGCCTGGAGGTGTTCTGAGTTATCACTAGGGAGAGCAAGGGGAGAATGTACCCTGGCATGCAGTGGAGGCCAGGGAGCAACAAAACACCCTATGACAATGCACTGGACACGTCCCACACCTGATAGTCTGGCCCAGTTGTCAATAGTTCTGAGACTCAGGAACCGACTTAGTGGAAATTAAGATAAAAATAAACACAGCCATGGCTGGCATGCTCAGTGGTTAGAGCATTAGACTGCACATGACAGGATCATGGGTTCAATTCCCAGTCAAGGGCACGTACCTGGGTTGTGGGTTTGTTCCTAGCCGCTAATCTGGGAGGGTGTGGGAGGCAGCCAATCAATGTGTCTTTCTCCATCAATGTTTCTATCTCTCTTCCCCTCCCTCCCTCCTTTCTACTCTCTGAAAAGCAATAGAAAAAATATCCTCAGGAGATGATTAACAAAAAACAAACAAACAAATAAATGTTACCTTCACCATTCCTCGAATCATTGTGCAGTAGGAATGTGCATTTTTCTCTGGCATTAAGGCAAAGATCCTCTCAGCATTGTTTTTTGCTCTAGGTACAAGAGAGTAAGTGTGAACCAAGGGAGACAGGAGAAGCATCTCCCAAAATCTACCGAGTTTACAATGTTCCAGACACTGCACGCACTTTATGCATATGGCAAATAATTCTTGCTACCCAGAGAGAGCGAAGTAGTTATCATCATTTTGAAAATGAGAAAACCTGAGGCTCAAGGACCTTACATTGTCCAAGGTTTTGCAGTTAAATGGCAGAACCAGGACTGAAAAGGACTGTTTACGAATAAGTAATATGTAGTAGTGTGCTGGATAATAACATTTTGGTTAGCAACAGACCGCACATATGACAGTAGTCTTAAAAAATTATAACCGAGCTGAAAACATCCTATCACCTACAGACATCATGGCACGTGCATTGAACATGCTACCACTCTGCCTGTGAGGTTAGCACATTCCATCACAGGAGGGGCAGCACCACTGAGGCTCTGGGGGGAAGAGCACCTTATTGTTCACACAAGGATGAAACCATCTCTCGAGAGAATGATGAGATCATGCTCAGTATTTCCCCACTGTTAAGTGGCATGCGACTGTATATTCAAGGTAAAAGACAACCTGTACAGGGCCCACAGTGAAGTTTCCCCGTCCTCCATCAGGTACAAGTTGCCCCAGGCAACCAGAAATAAGCAGTTTTTCCTGAATCTTTTCAGTCATTTTATTGTATATGTCATATTCTACAGTGTATCTACTCTTTCTTAAAAATATAAAAATAAAAAAGGTACCATGTTATACAAACTAAGCGGTACCTCAATCCACCCTCTTACCAATGTCTTAGAAATCGCAAAGAACCAGAAGTTGAACCAGGATGTCATTCCAAACCCTTTACTATGTAAAAATTATTAAAATCTAATGAAGAAATTTAATCAGCAATTCTATTTATCACTTCAAATGAGATTTTAGACATTAATGGTAGCTTTCCTTCTCTTCAGTCACATAAAATACTGTTCTTTTATTTAGACACTTTTTTTCCCTAAAGAATTTTAAGCTGATTTGTAGAGAGAAGGAAGGGAGGAGAAGAGAGAAGCATGTGAGAGAACTTGATCATCTGCCTCCTGCAAGCCCCCTACTGGGGTTTGAGCCTGCAATCTTGGTATGTGCCCTGACCAGGAATCGAACTGGCAACCCTTTGATGCACAGGATAAGGCTCCAACCAACTGAGCCACACAGGCCATGGCTATTTAGACACTTTTATTTAGTTAATTTAAAGCCACTGTGTGGCTAAGTGGTATTCACCTTTTGTTTGGAATTGCTAAACTACATTCTGGTATATGTGTATTCTTATGTACACAAAAATACTAAATCTTTCAGCACTGAGGTCTCCATTGTACAGGACAAGTAACAACTGATGAATCTACCCAAGGAACCATACTCAGAGAAAGTTATATGACTTAAGTGGGGGGGGGGGGCGGGGGGGGGGGAGGGAGAAAAACCAAGTGTGAACATGGTGTTGTTGGTTAAAGATCTTATGAATCTGCACACATGAATACACTTGGGACATTTATATTGCCCGCTAAAAGGAAATTATATTCTAGAGAATATTAAAGGATCGTACCTTCTTCAGGAGGTGATAGGAACATGTCCCAAAGAAAACTGTAATATGATTTCTAGCACTAAACGGTTTGGCTCAGTGGACAGAGCATCGGCCTGCAGACTGAAGGCTCCCAGGCTCGATTCTGGTCAAGGGCATGTACCTTGGCTGCGGGCACATCCCTACTAGGGAATATGCAGGAGGCAGCTGATTGATGTTTCTCTTTCATCGATGTTTCTAACTCTCTATCCCTCTCACTTCCTCTCTGTAAAAAAAAATAAAAAAAAAAATCAATAAAATATATTAAAAAAAAAAAGAAATTCTAATGATGTGCAACATACCTCCAAATAACTCCAAACTGTTGGCCAGCCCTTTTCTTAGATTTCACAGTACTTTCCTCTGTGGCCTCTTCCTGAAATGAACCATCATCAATAAAAATAAAACAAAAGATGACAACAAAAAGCATTCTCCTCGTTAGACTACCCAAAGTCAGGAAGACTAAGAAAACTCCAGAAAATAAAGGAAGTACTGACCCAGTAGAAGGTGAGGAGGGAACCCAGTAAATGTTTAGGAAATGTGCATTTATTAAGCATAAACCAGCTCATTGACAGATGAAAAGTAGAGCTGGCCGTTAACGCAGGGACAGCCTGGAGAAACCATGAACCTAGTGTATGTGTGGGGCCCTGTCTCAGACACTGGATCCTGAAACAACACGGCTGACTCCTCAGAGGCCAGGTCTGGCTTGATCCATACAGAAACGCTGTTCATTATTCAAATGAAAACAAGAGAACACAACATATCTGGGCATGGAACTAATGTCTAATACTAACCCACACAGCTAAAATTCTGTTTTGATAAGACGTTTTGTCCTTTGTTATAAACGAAGCTCTGGGGGAGGCTGATGTGGAGCAAAGCAGGCTGGTTAGAACAACATAGTAAGTAATGGCTCTGCAGCTGGGACTAAAGATATTCTTGGCAGAAAAGGTATGACTGCAACCCCTGCCTATACACTTTAAAAGGCTTATCTATAATAATAAAAGCCTAATATGCAACTCGACCGAACAGCCAAACAGCGGAAGTATCATCTGGACAACCATGCTATGTCACCCACTGGCGCCAGGCCAGCCAAAGTGGATGTGATGCAATCGGTCAGGGGGCAGGGAGAAGAGGGGGTGCCCTGCCATCACCCCATGATCGCCCGGCAGAGGGAGGCCTAGGCTACCAATAGGCAGGCAACGGCAGGTGGGTGGGACCTCCCTCTGCAGGGGCGATCCATCGCAGGGCATCTGGACTGTGAGAGGGTGCAGGCTGGGCTAAGGGACCCTCCCCCCAGAGTGCAAATTTCGTGCACCGGGCCTCTAGTTCTGTACATAAAAATTCCACATTTAGTGAATAAAAATTGGAAAAGACAGACAAAAACACCCATGAGTTCCATCATCCCAAAACACTTAATTTGATTTTTTCCTTATGTATATGAAAACTTTTTAATAAAAATGGAATATGTATTGTTTTGAGCCTACTTTCCCACTTATGCTCCATAATCTCAGCAGAGTGTGCCCACTCCTGTAGGAATTTTTGAGGGGGCTGTGACCGTGTGTGTGTGTGTGTGTGTGTGTGTGTGTCTTTCCTGTCTGCCACATATCACACCGTACTGTAAGTGACAATATAGGGGTTTTCAAATATTTTTGGTCAAAGCTTTGCCTGCATGTGGTACACAAGGTCAAAATATTTTAAAGAAAGGATTAAAATAATTGTTTAAATCTCTCCCTTCCTCCACATCAATTTTTATTAAAGCTACTGTACCTCACCACAGGTAAGAACAAATCTCTACTACCCTAACACATAATACAAGAACCACCTTACACTGAGGAGTTACAACCAAAATAAACTTCGAAAATTATTGCCAAAAGCCATTACCAACTCTTCTGATTTTTCCGTTTGTTGAAAATTATAGTAAGCTGAGGGCTCTTGGTCACCATAGTAACATAGTAAATCCAAGAGACTATTAGTTGTTTCCAAAGATACAGTAGTTCCTGTGGGTAGAAGAGAAAAAGGGAAAGAAACCTTGAAACATCAAAGAACTGAAGCCCATTAGGTTAAAAATTTTCACTTTTTCTATGAGCCCTATTTTAGAATTATTCTCCACGTTCACAATGAATACACTTCCCATCAACTTGAACACCTAGGATGATACAGACAAAGACACAATTCCTACTAATCATATGGTTTGACTAAAAGATTAAGATACAAGATGAAATTTGACCCTGTACTCACTTGTTTTATGCACTCATATCCCCAGAGAAACTAGCTCATGGTTTTTAACTAAATTGTTGCCACCTGGTTCGGAACCATTCCATTTGGATCCAGGCCCTCCCTGAAATATTTGCCCAGAAACACTAGCATTAGTTCTCTACCTATGATACAGCACAAGTGAACAAAAACTAACAAAGCCACAACTCTCTCTCGCCTATAATTTTAAAGTGAAGCTAAAGCTGAACTTGAAATATTATTTACTAAATTACTAAAAATATAAACAATACCATCAAGCAGCACAATAACCCCTGCAACTTTCACTCACAACTCCTGGGACTGCATGACTGCTGCTAGTCACCATGAACCTAGTCACCTGCTTGCAAGAGCTGATCAAACATGTCCACTGAAGCTTTGACTTTTTTTAGCTTGATTCGCTCCTTTAGGGCAGCTTCACTTACATCTTCAAGTTGAGGTTCAAAGCACTCAGGCATCAAACACTAGGAAAACAAGATACTGAAATTACTACAAACAGGTGCAGGTGAAAGGACAATAAAGTAGGACAACATTTTTATCACCAACACACCGAAATAAAATGTCACTGAGCCGAAACCGGTTTGGCTCAGTGGATAGAGCGTCGGCCTGCAGACTGAAAGGTCCCAGATTCGATTCCGGTCAAGGGCATGTACCTTGGTTGTGGGCACATCCTCAGTGGAAAGTGTGCAGGAGGCAGCTGATCGATGATTCTCTCTCATCGATGTTTCTAACTCTCTATCCCTCTCTGTAAAAAATCAATAAAATATATTTAAAAAAATGTCACTGAAATTCACATTTCATGCACCAAATATTATTTATATCATTATAACATGAATGTCTTTGCAGGGAATGCAACTTTATATATATATTTTTATTTTTTATTGATTTCTTACAGAGAGGAAGAGAGAGGGATAGAGAGTTAGAAACATCGATGAGAGAGGATCATCGATCAGCTGCCTTCTGCACACCCCCTACTGGGGATGTGCCCGCAACCAAGGTACATGCCCTTGACCGGAATTGAACCTGGGACCCTTCAGTCCGTAGGCCGACGCTCTATCCACTGAGCCAAACCAGTTTAGCTGGGAGTGCAACTTTAAAAAATTATTTAAAAAATCCTCTTCAGTTCAAAAGAACAAGACTATTTAGCTGTCTACTAGCTTGAGAAGAAATCTTTAAAAAGCACACAAACATAAATATCTCATTCATATCCAAAGAATTCTACTTGAACTAAATTTCCCAATGAGCTGAATTATATCCCCCCGCTAAACTATCCTATCTCCTTTCTTCCCAAACATTTTTAAAAATATCTGTGTTTTTATTGATTTCAGAAAGGAATTGAGAGGAAGAGAGAGATAGAAACATCACTGATGAGAGAGAATCATTGATTGGCTGCCCCCTGCATGCCCCCTACTGTGATTGGAGCCTATAGCCCAGGCATGTGCCCTAACTGGGAATCAAACCCAGATCTCTCCATGGGATGCTCAATCCACTAAGCCACCACAGCCAGGCCTTTCCTCCCAGTTTTGGTTAAGTGTCCAAGTACAGAAACCTTTCACCCTTTATGCTTTCTTTTACTTTAAACTTTTAATATCACCAGGGCATGCTGATTTAACCTCACTCAGTAACTTATTCAAATACTTATTGAATGCTAGCCACTTTCTGCCTACTATATCTATATCCGATATTGGGGATATAGAAATGGCAGTCATTCTCTACCCTCAAGGTGCTCACAAACTAATGGAGAAAGCAAATCCTACATATTGTAATAAAAGCCTAATATGCTAAGTGTCCGGTTATCCCTTCAACCAAAACATAATATGCTATTGATATTCTAAGGCCACTTAACCGCTTGCTATGACATGCACTGACCACTAGGGGGTAGGTGCTCCGACCGGTAGGTTAGCTTGCTGCTGGGATCCAGCCTATCAGGACTGAGTGAAACAGACCATACATGCCCTGGAGCCCTCCTGCAGTCCCTCCTTGGCTGGCCAACCTCCCTCGTCACTCCCTGGCCCTGATAGTGCATCAGTGGGGTCCCTCAGCATGGTCTACGCCCTCTCGAAATCTGGGACCCCTTGGGGGATGTTGGAGATCCGGTTTTGGCCTGATGGTGGAACTACTAGTCACTATGATGTGCACTGACCACCAGGGGGCAGATGCTCAATGTAGGAGCTGGCCCCTGGTGGTCGGTGCATCCCACAGGGGGAACACCACTCAGACAGAACCCGGGCTCATGGCTGGTGAGCGCAGTGGCAGTGGCGAGAACCTCTCCCACCTCCGTGGCAATCAAATATCCCCAGAGGACTCCCAGACCACGAGGGCACAGGCCACCTGAGGGACCCCCTCCCCCAAGTGGACAAATTCCATGCATTGGGCTCCTAGTAAGAAAATAATTATGACGCAGTGTGAATGGTAACGACATAAGAGATCTCAGGAGTGTGACAGTGCTGCCTGCTAGGGAGGCAAGGGACCATGTGTAAGGCTTCAAGCAAAAGTGATCGAAGCACAGAAGGGTAACTTAGTTAAAAATATGAGGAAAGGCTGGGTCAACAAATGATCAGTCCAGAGCTGCCAGGATCTTAGTCCAGGATTTCAGCTTTTCCCCTGCACAACCGTATCAGCTTCCGAACCTGCCTCAGGGTGCGGCTGGAGAAGCAGAGGGCTGTTTGGGTGTGTGTGTTTTGAGAAGCAGGGGGACGTGAGAGGGAGGATGTGTCCAAGATTATAGTTCTACTAAAAAACACAGGAGGGCAGAGGTACATGTTTTGCTTACCACTGTACTGATAGCACTAAGCACAATGTCTAAAATATAGCAGACAGGTACCGCACAAATATTCACTTTTAGTGACTATAGAACATAGAGGTAGTTGGAAATACAATCTGGAATTCAATGTAGAGGGATCTAGGCCAGATATACAAGAATGCCAAATAAAATACAAGGCTTGAAACAAGAAGAGTGTAAACAAAGACAGAATATGACTGAGCATGGAAACAGAAGAAAGACAGCAATGCTTAAGGAGCGGATAGAAAAGCGACTGAAGGAAACAAAAAACAAATAATCATATAGGTCAAGGTCAGAGCCAAATTGGGAAAATAAAAAGAAGAGCAAATACATATAGAAGGAGGTTAAAAGAAAAGTTAGTATTGCCTGGCTGGTGTTGCTCAGTGGTTGAGCACTGACCTAGGAACTAAGAGGGCACCTGCCCAGGTTATAGACTATTCCCAGTAGGTGTGCAGGAGGCAGCCAATCAATGATCCTTTCTCATCACTGAAGTTTCTCTCTCTTTCCCTTCCTCTCTGAAATCAATTAAAAAAAATATATAAAAAGTTAGTATTGTGGGCACAAATAACAACACATTAAAAGACTCTTCCCTTCCCCTCTCTTCCCCCAGTATACTGAGGGCATTCAAATAGTTCCTCAAATGTTGGCCATTAGAACTTGGTTAAATTTACATTTATATAGTATTATCTGAAAATTGCAATTACCTCTCCTTACCGGTATGTGAGGTTCAGCTATGTCTTTCTGAAAATATTTGGGATGTGAATTAATAATAAACTTGGCTGCATTCTCCCCAGACTTCTTTGCCAATAAAAATGAACGCTATATAAAGAAAAAAAACAACTCAGATATAAATTGTAATTTAGATTCAAGAGATCAAAGTCACATCCTTATTATTCTCCCCCTTAAGAAGGATGCATCAATACACTGAATCCCAATTGGAAGTTAAATTACATAATACACATCCACCTCTGCTGAGAGTGACATGACTTCAGGTCATGTCTTACATACATACAGAGGCTCATGAAAACAATGCATTCAACTGAGTGGATTGTTCCAGAGTGAAACAGCCTAGATACCCAACCAGCTAGTCTCTAAAACTTTTTTAGTGTAGTAAAGGATTCAAAAAGTTTACCAATTTAGATTTTTACAACTAAGTTAAATTACTTGTATTCAAACCAGCAAGATAAAACATGATACTAGAAAAACCACAGGAAAGTAAATACTCACTGATTCCACAGAGGAGGTTGGTATGAGGTAAGGATCATCTAGAAATGCGTAAGGGGCAGCCGTGGTATCCTGTGGAGAAGACACCGAAGTCCCTTTAGCTAGATTTTTTATGAAGAGGACCTGACCTGGTGAGTTTCACTAAGGTCCAAAGAGTCTATAAAATAAATTTCAATTATACATGTAAAACAACATAGTAATACGTCTATAGATTTGTATTTGTACGTGTGTGTGTGTGTGTGTGTGTGTATGTAGACAGAGAGAGAGAAACGGACTAATGGTCTCTCTGCTCTATAAGACATGTTCTACTTACACACAATTAAAGCAAATAATTCTTCAAACCCCCACAACTGCTATTTAAGATCCGAGTCTGTTATCAAAAGAGAGTGTTGTTGTTTTAAACTCTATGTAAATGACCTTACGGAGGGTCAGTAGTCACAGATATTGTGACATAAGAAAGGGCTTAGTTACTTTAGACATTTCCCATAGTTGGAATGAAAAGTATAGTTTCCAGCTAAATGAAAATTACATTCATTCAAGTTCCGTTTGTGAGGCCTTTACCAAGGTTTGTTTCTCTACCAGACTGTCAGCTCTATTCTTGAATTGTCAACAGAGCAATTATTGAAAAACCACTAAGATAGTTGTAGTAAGAATAGCTAGCATTTATTGAGCATTTCCTTTGGGCTAGGCACTGCCCTAAACCCTTTCAGATATACTAATTTCCCACCAAAACCTTGAGGTTTGGTGCTATAACTGATCCTCATTTTACAGAAAAGGGAACAGAAGCATCAAGAGATAAAGCAATTTTGGTGGCTGTGGCTTCAGTGCCCACATTGGTGATCACTCTGTCTCCTGCAGCAGGTACAGTTGTTCGGCTGGTACCGTTCACTTGCATTACAGCATCACCCCAAACCGGCCCCCAGCTACATGCACTTCAACAAGCTCTTCAGAGGGTCAGGTTTAACGATCACTGGTACAGCACAAAAACACTAAGTTTGGAAACAAAAGACATGAAACTATGTCCAGGCTTTACCATCCAACCATACCCTTACGTCAGAAAATTTAAAAGGTTTATATTCCTCTTTGTTACATGAAGAGACTAGATTAGGTAGTTTCTAAGAAACTTTCTAGATCCATAAAAGTTTAATCGTGAATAACAAGAGGTGTAAGCATTAAATGTGATATTAGCAGAGTTAGACACAGAAACCTCCAAGTCCTACTTACCCTGTTTACTGTGGATGCAAGAGCCTGCAGAACGGCCACTTTATCCCTAAGAATGAGAACCGCAAGTTAACCTTCACCATGGTTTTCACACTCACAAAATGAACACGTGGTTCTACTCTCAGAATGAGCTGATCAATAACCAAGTTCAGGTCTCACTAAAGCCAGTTCTTACACCTCAAGATCACTAGAATAACGAGAGAAAGCTGTGTAGTTCTTTTGCCTAAAGGGGGTTAACACCATGCTTTGCCTACCGTTTGTACCTACCTACCCTAAAACCATCACCCAGGGTTAGGGATTTCCACCCTCATCTCTTAAGACAGTGTCCTACTCTTTCCTGTATCTTATCTCCTCCCCTCGGATATTCACTGTAGCATCCTGGACTGCTCTTGTTTTCATTATCTTAATTGGTGGCTCTTAATTCAGCTAAATATGAGAATAAACCACATGCTGTACTCAAGACCTACCGAATCAAAACCTCCACGTTCCATGGAGAACTGTCACATGCATTACTACTGAATTCCCAGACGATTCGGATGCACCCTTCTAATTTAGAATGAATGTCTCAACTATAGAACCTTTATAAGAATGTCAGGCCACTGCCCACTGTACCTATGGGTACAGCCCTTTACTCAATTACTGGAAAAGAAGATTTCATCAGAATAACTGACAAGATAATTTGGTTTGAAAAATTTTACGACTTTTGTTAGATTTTATGTGTTGCATTTCCAAAGGGGAAAGAGTAAAATTTAATAAACCAAAAATATATTAAAAAAACCCCACTTAATAATAATAATAATAATAATAATAAAACTTAATAGAAGTCATCTGAAAATGAAAGTACAGGAAGTTTTATATTACATCAAGGCAGAGTAATTCCCTGATGTAGATATATAATACCCATTTTTTTAAATAGATTTTTAAAAGTCACATTTATGTAATTTTAGTAAAAGACAAAGATATTCTTTCACCTTTGAGCATTCCCTAACAAAATTTGCACAATTCAGTCTTATAATAGAGCAGTCTTCATAACATACTAAATAACATACTTCATGACATTCAGATTACTCACTAGTTACTTTCTCTTTATTAAATATTTTATTATTTCAGAAAAGAGGAAAATAGAAACATCAATGAGAGAATTATTGATTGGCTGCATCCTGCACACCCCCTATTGGGGATCAAGCCCGACACCTGGGCATTGAGCCTGAAACCCAGGCACATGCCCTGACTGGAAATCGAACTGTGACCTCCTGGTTCATCCGTCAACTCTCAACCACTGAGCAATACCTGCTGGACTAGTTCTCTTTTTTAAAGGGTTATTTTAAACAATCTCAATGCATACATTGTCCTTAAGAAATAAGTTAGAACATTACAGGTTATACTGAAGTGTTTGGTATCATCTTGTAACCCTTTCCTACTCCACTCTGAATTTGTTGTTAGTATTTTTACATATACATATCACCATAAAAAACACACACTATCATTTTGTATATATGCTAAGTTTGACTGTATTAAACATGTTACTACATAGAAATCTAATTTCTTTAAATGTTACATTGTAGCCCAGCCTTCGTGGCTCAGTGGTTCAGCAAGGACCTAGGAATCAGGAGGCCACAGGTTCAATTCCCTGTCAAGGCACAAGCCCGGGTTGTAGGCTCGACCTTAGTAGGGGGTGTGTGGGAGGCACTTTCCCATCACTGATGTTTCTCTCTCTCCCCCCAAAATCAATAAAAACATTTTAAATGTTACATTGTACAATAACTACTTTTATTATCTACCTAGTTATTGATGGGCACTTGGGCTGGCCCAACTTGGTATTATTCTCAAGTTATAAAGAACTTTCTCATCCATGTCTCTGAGTGTATATTCAAGTGTTCCTCTAGAACAGTGTTTCCCAAAGTGTGGTACGCATACCCCCAGGGGTACGGGAAGTTTGGTGGGGGTACGCGTTGCACTGGAGTTTGGTGGGGATATGCACTGCACCGTGCTTAGCTGTGCCTAATTCTACGTTCTCATGAGTATGAGGAGTACTCAGTGTTACGAAAATTATAGAAGGGGTACACATATGTCAAAAGTTTGGGAAACACTGCTCTAGAATGTCTAACCTGGAAGGTATACACATTTTAAATTGTGATTCTGGCAACTTTCCCGCCACAGCACTGTTCCAACTATATATGCTGACTGCCCTATCAACAAACTTGAGCACCCATTTCTCCACATTCTTTCATGAGCCTAGTAACCTATATGTTGATCATAACTAGGCTTCCTGCTAGCCCTAAAATAACTATACAATTCAGATATTCAGAACACTACCTTTATCATGTCACATTCATTATGTAAGCTCACAATGACTACAATTTGTCAGGATTTACTGTGGCACCTGAGCAATCTGGGAAATCATAGCCTCCAATCACGCTTCACCTCTAAAATGAAGCAAAAATAACGTGTAGTCCTTATGGCTTCTTCCAGGTCTAAAAGCATCAGTTCAGAGACTCTATCAGAGAATCTCTATCAATCTTTTTTTTTTTTTGCAAAGGGACAGATAGTAAATATTTAGGCCTATTGGGTACAGGGACTCTGTTACAACTATTCAGTTCTGCCAGTGTAGCATCATTGGTGCCACAGACCATATATTAACAAATGAGTGAGGTGGCCCCAAAATTTTTTAATTGACATTGAAATTTGAATTTATGTAATTTTCACATGTAATAAGTCTTCTTTGTTAATCCTCACCTGAAGATATTTTTTGCCATTGATTTTTAGAGTGAAGGGAGAGCTAAGGGAGGAAAAGAGAAACATGGATTGGCTGCCTCCAGCATGCAATTGGCTCAGAACAACCCTGCAACCCAGGTATGTGCCCTTGACCAGGAATCAAACCTGAGACCCTTTGGTGCACAAGCTGACTCTACCATTGAACCGTACCTGCCAGGGCTAAAATAGTCTTCTTTTGACTTAACTATAAAATAAGTAAAAACCATTCTTGGCTCATGAGCTGTAAAAAAAATGGCCTCAGTTTGCTGATCAATGTCTGCATCAACTCCCTGTTCTAACAGAGCATTTCCCAGGCCTGCCTGCTTGGCCTCTTCCCACAACATGATATGATCATCTTTTCTGTATTAAGAGAGTCTCATAGTTTAGGGTTCATGAGAATTACTTGTAAGAATATGCTTTATAAATAAAATTCTTAGTTACTCTGATGCTAACCCATTTTTTTTTTTTTTTATAAATATATTTTATTGATTTTTTTACAGAGAGGAAGGGAGAGAGATAGAGAGTTAGAAACATCGATGAGAGAGAGTCATCGATCAGCTGCCTCTTGCACACCCCCTACTGGGGATATGCCCGCAACTGAGGTACATGCCCTTGACCGGAATCGAACCTGGGACCCTTCAGTCCCCAAGCCGACGCTCTATACATTGAGCCAAACCGGTCTCGGCATGATGCTAACCCATTTTAAGATACAGATAAATTTCTACACTTTTCAATAAAACTCACCATGGTTATTGCAATACAACCACTCTTGATTTATATCATATTCTGTATTGGCTTTAATCATGTGCATAAGTTATGTACACATGTAATGAGTATAAGGAATAAAGTATAACTATGCAGAAGGTTGGACTAGATTATAAGCTATCTGAGCATACCCTCCAAAAACTCCTTTTTGTATTCCCTGAAGTAGCTTCTTCAGGGATAGAGGCTGATAAAATGCTTTGAACTAGAATGTTATTCAGGAAAATGACTCATTCATGGATATGTTTATTTCTACTCTTATTTTGGTTCTGATTCTCATGCCAGGGAAGACAGAAATAAACCTCAATATAATAAAATGCTATTAGTAATTAAAAATTAAAAGCAGAGTATAGAATAAAACATTTACCAAACCAATTCTACAAAAGTAAATGCATATATATAATTTATATGAAAAATGTCATACACTTTAAAATAACAGCTATCACCTACAGAGCTCTGACAATATGGCAGGCATTAATCGAACACTTATTTAATTCTTTGAGATGGGTACTGTCATTACCCACATTTTACTGTAGTTCAGAGATGAAAATAATTTGCCTCTGAGAAGTGTGATTATTAACAATCTTGTTTCCTTCTGCATGTTTTATTTATCCCAGACACCTTTTGGCAATAACCATTAATACTTTTGTAATTTATTAAGAAGATTGTTTTTTTTTTCGTTTTTTTAAAATATATTTTATTGATTTTATTCAGAGAGGAAGGGAGAGAGATAGAGAGTTAGAAATATCGATGAGAAACATCCATCAGCTGCCTCTTGCACACCCCCTACTGGGGATATGCCCGCAACCAAGGTACATGCCCTTAACCGGAATCGAACACGGGACCCTTCAGTCCCCAAGCCAACGCTCTATCCATTGAGCCAAACCGGGTTTGGCAAGAAGATTGTTTTTTTTTTTTGTTAATCCTCATCTGAGGATATTTTCCCAGTGATTTTTAGGGAGAGCGGAAGATAGACGGAAACAGCAATGTGAGAGAAACACATCAATTGGTTGCCTCCTGCACAGCCTCGACTAGGGCCCAGGCCAGGGAGGAGCCTGTAAACAAGGTACGTGCCCTTGACCAGAATCAAACCCGGGACCCTTCAGTCCACAGGCCAATGCTCTATCCACTGAGGCAAACCAGCTAGGACTTTATTTTTTATTTTTTTGTTAACTTTAGTCTTCAGGTCATGCTCAGGAAAGACCTGGCTTTTTTAGGGAGCTTTTAAACACATTCAATAGTGTCATTACTATAAGAATTTTTGTGAAGATGTTTTAGTTCTTATGTATTCAACAAATCCTGACTAAGCAAGGCAATTTGCTCAAGGATCTAAGAGTTAAAAAGCTAAATTTTGCAACCTGCATCATTTATTTTATTTTAACTTATTAAAGACCATAAAGATAATATTTTTGTCTGCTCTCCCAACCATGAAAATCTCCTATCCTTAAAAAATTATTCTAAAGAAATTATTTCCATGATTACTCACTGTTATGTAAACATTAACCTGAACTCTGTTCAGAAAGTCTTTTAATTAAGTTTTCATTCCTGTTTTATTTTCTTCTAAACTTCCAAGTTTTTCCTTCAATTGTTCTCTTCCCAAGAATGCTCTCCATTGTTCTCACTGAATCCTTTACTTACCAATGTTTTGCTCGTAATAAGCACTCAACCCCTAGATGAATAAGCACTGATTAAATACTCACCAAGTTTTCCTTTTTGGAATGACCACTTCTTCAGTCCCTTAATATAAAAAGTAAAACAATGAATCAATTTCCCAATACTAGTACTATGGAGAAGTATAATGGGTTAATATACAAATGGAATTATTTCAATATATTTCTATATACCTGTTACATCAGTTCCTTCAACCTTTGGGAGGGCTGCACTTCCAGAGCAAAATCTGCAAAAAGTAAAAGCCCTAAAGTTAATAATCGTTAATGGAGTTCCCACCCCACCTCCATCTATGTGCACTTTGCACCCAAACTTTACAATTTTCATGGATCAAAGTGAGATAAATCATGCCAAATGTACACTCAGAGGACATGACCTCAACACCACATTCAAAACCATTACAAAACAGATATAAGATATGGGCACAAATTTTTTAAATGTGATAATTACATTAAATAAAATAAAGTCAGGGAAAAAGAAAAATTTTAGCACTTGAACAATTGAACAGCTGATCTGAAATAAGGGACTCCCAACTTTAGAAATCTAAAACACTAAAGTTAAGAAGGACAAGATAATGAGCAAATTTTATATGGATAATGTCCTAATAATAATGAAAGTCTATCCACCTAAAGCAATTATGAAGTTATTTTCATAATGTCAATCCACTTCAACAACCAGGAAAGGACCAAATCAGATATGAACGTCCTAATTTAAACTTGGAACTGCTTTTTTTAAAATTCAAAACGTATAACCATTGACCCATGACAGAGCTATAAAATTTTCTTATCACACTAAAGAACAATCAATATGCCAAACAGATTATGTGCATTATCTTGTATACTGAATGGTACCATTCAGAAAATTGTCAAGATGTGATTGGAAAATAACTTCCTCTACTGGCATCTGGTCTCAGACATCTTTTTTCTCTTTTGGTTGTTAATCCTCACCAGGAGATAGCTTTCCCGCTGCGAGAGAGAAACATCTATGAAAGATGTGGTTGCATGTGGTTGTGCATGGAATTGTTAGAGGGCAGAAACAGATTATTAGAAATTAACTATAATTATAAGAAATATTAATCATGCTCTGTTAACCGTAATTATTATTTTTTTTTTTTTAGAGAAAGCACATTCTAACCTCGGTGAGAGTTGTACACCCAGGACATGGGAGCTAACATGGAAATGCAGTCCCTCCTCTTTCCTGCCTATCTTTGTGGGAAGATTTACAACCTCGTGGCACACAGTCCTGGAGGCACTTGCTCTTTACAACCCAGCCCCTATTTCCTGTAATGTGGTCCCAGGACACCTGCTCTCAGTGACTCCCTACACCCGGATGACTTGTAACCTGTAATGATTATCCCATGCCCACTTTCCCACACCTGCAGTTCCTACTTCCCCACGCAATCTTGACTCATCTTGGCAGTTAGCTGATGGTGGGGTGCAGAATAAATTTTTGTGGATGACCTGCCGCTCTCATACTGCTGGCATTATTGGAATAAACCCTCATATGATTCAACCCTGTCTGTTTAATTGGCTGAAGTAGTGACAGGCAGCCCGGACCCTGCAGAACCTGCAACCGGGTACCAGCCCTTGACCCTAAGCAAACCCAGAGACCCTTCCATTGCGTGGGCCGAGGCATTAAAAAAAATTACTATTTTTGCTAAGGATCAATTCTTGCAAATCATGCCTTTTTTTTTAAAAAATGACATTAGGGCACACAGAGCACTGAGTCTTTGTCAAAGTGAACATTCTGTGATGTCCTAAAGCACAGCAGGCAGGAGAGAAACAGAAAAGGTAGAGCTCGTAAGCTACCTTTAACTTGAAAAAGTCTTAAAGATTTCTCCGTTTCTACTGGTTGCGAGAAAAGGAGACCAAATCAGTTTGTTTTTTTTTAATTTGGGATGAGATTGCTAACAGGCATACTAACTAGAATGTTGGCTCCGCGACAGAAGGATTCTAGTCTGTCCTGCAATTATACTCCTGGGTGGGCCAGCCAACCCATCAATATCTCCCTCATAAATGCGTTTTGATCTTTTCCCCAAGCACGCGGCTATGAGGGCGCACGCGCATTCCACTGCATCGTGCCTCGTTCCACAGGGACGGGGGAAGGGTACACACAGGGTTAGGTTGGCACCTGGGACTTCCTCAGGGTTCCTCAAGCCTCTCTTACCTGCATCTAGGGGCCGGTTCACATGCACCTGTCCACCGACCCGTCAGCGGCAGGGAAAGCCTGCAGCGGACCCTCAGCCAGCGCGCTGAGGCCGCCGCCGCCATCTTTGCTTTCTTCGCATTGCATGTTGGGAAAGCATGTGTTCCACCTTCTGGATCATCGAGGGGAGGGGGGAGGGCGGACCGGAAGACCCCGGCTATTGGCTGAGACCGAACAAGACGAAAGCAAACATAATAGAGGTAACAAGCTCTTGGTTTGAAACACTTCGCTACGGAAGTGAAGGCTCAATACGCCTCACCTGCAATTAGAAGATTTTTATAAAACGAACATTCTAGTGGTATATACATTCGATCGTTTTCAAAATAAGAGGGCTAGTGAGAGTCATGAAAGTACCTTCCTCCCCCCCCCATCCCTAGAGCGGGAATGGTCTCGTCCAGGTAAATCTCCTCCCAGCGAGCCTTTGTCGTGCGCAAGCGCAGCTTAAGTCACATGGCGGCAGTGGGCTCGTAGCTGTGTTGGGAATCTACCGGGGTGATTGGAACTTCTCTCTGGGTGTCAGAACTCGAAACTGACCTGGAGGATGTTGGGCTCAAAGAACGTGCCCTGGCGGCGGCTGCAGGGCATTTCTTTCGGGATGTATTCGGCCGAAGAGCTCAAGTAAGTAGTTGGTGGGAAGCGTGCGCATCTTGTCTCTTGAGGTTGGCGCCTTTATAAACTACTACTCCCGAAATGACTTGCGCCCAGTTTATCTGCTGAGCCCTGGGTTGTCGGGCGCGTGGCCTGCCGGGACCCGTAGTTCTGAGAACGTCTGAGGCTAGCGTGCACCGTTGAGAGTTGGTGGGGCTGCGAATGAGTTTGCTCGGAGCCGCATGGTATTCCCACGGTGCAGCGTTACCTTCCGCCAGTCTTCTCGGTAATTAGCCAGCGTTTGTGAAGTGACTGTAATGTCTCTGGAGCGGTTAGTTAAGCACATCATTAGTTTCTTTCTACAAAATGACTGTCCATCAGGACTCAGTTCAGGTTCTGTTTCTGGAACAAGTATTCCTTATTCGATCAGTTCATTAACCCACCAATATTTATTGATTTTTTTTTTATTTTATTTTTTGCCAGGCAGAGTGCTAGACGTTAGTGACACATTGGTGAACAAGGTTTCTATTCGAATGTTTCAGGCTCCTTAGATGATTCCTCTTTTCCTTAAATCTTGGTGTTCCTCGAGGTTCTGTTCTTGTCCTACTGTCTTTCTTCTAAATGTCATCACTTTGATTTCACTCCAAAAGGGTATCTAGTTTAGTGCAAAATGGTCATTGTTTTGTGACTGGGAAATAATTCTAGACCCGTATTTCCTGGAATCTAGTTTATTTATTGGGCCCTTTCTGTGTGTCATCTACATAACTTTTTGTTGTACACCATACTTGCATCACTACTACTACCACTGCTTTAGGTCACACCCTCAATCTCTTGTTTGAAATGTCTTTTTTTTACCTTACACCTGTCCAAGTTCATCCTTCACATTGCTGTCAAAGATATTCTTTCTTTTTAAAAAAAATATATATTTTATTGACTTTTTACAGAGAGGAAGAGAGAGGGACAGAGAGTTAGAAACATCGATGAGAGAGAATCATCGATCGGTTAGTTGCCTCTTGCACACCCCCTACTGGGGATGTGCCTGCAACCAAGGTACATGCCCTTGACCAGAATCGAACCTGGGACCTTTCAGTCCACAGGCCGATGCTTTATCCACTGAGCCAAGCTGATTTCGGCAAAGTTATTCTTTCAAAGCGTAAATATAATATGATCATGCTACTTCAAATGTGATTGAGGCAGGATAGGAAGAAGCTAGGAAAATTCCTTGACAAGTGAAATAAGGGAAATTGAGCCAAATAGTTAAACAAAGCCAGACAATTTGAGCAATTTACAGCCAGCTAATGAATCACAAGGTTTTATCTTCCCTGACCAAGTATACTTAAGTGCAAATGGTTTGCACATTCCAGACCTTCCTGGGGCAGACCCACTAGATCTGGGCCCCTCTTCCATGATGTTTTTTAGAAATGAGACTAGCAATAACAAAAAAACCTAACCAGAAAATAACCCTGGCCCCTCTCTAGCATATTGAAGGACACACCTAGAAAGCTGATGACTATTTTATTGAGACTCCCCACTGAGACCTCCCCTAGGATTTCCACTGGCTAAAGAAAGATAAAAAGCCTCAAGACAGAGGACCTAGAGCACACCCACACCCTTCTCCCTTAGGCTTGTATCTCTGCTCACCCCTAAACTCTTAAGGGTCCCCAGAAAATTTGCAACCAGGGGAGCAGCAGGCTGTGGCTCGTCCCCGTCTTATCCCCTGAACCTGTCTCCGAGGCCCCCTTTTTCTCTGACTTTCCAGTGAGCTAATAGCAGCCCTGCCTTGGCTCACTTGTGTCACTGTGACTTTTACTTCTCAGTGAGTTCACACGGCCCACATGGCCCGCATGTGTGGGTGAGGGAGCTGTCTATCCAGTACTTGGCACTTTCAGTTCTTACTGCCACCATTTGTGGTGGTATTTCCAGTTACGGGAGAGGAAATCCAGGTTCAGAGAACAAAGTGACTCTAGGAAGCAGCGAAGGTCATCCTCAAACCCAAGTGTGTTTGTCTCAAGCTCTGTTCTCTTCAGAGGAATCCTTGCTGGTTGCCCCTCCTCTCCATCCCATGCCTACCATGGTTAGGTGGCTTTCTCCTTTTCCCCAGCAAGAGGGAGGAACTTTGTTCCAAGCACTGTATTTTATATACGTTATCTTCTGTTCATTGTAATGGAGCTACTGCATTGATCAATTTTTAGGTGGGGGGTGGGGGGAAGCTAAGTATTTTGTCCAAGGTTGTCTAGTTCAAGGTGAAGTGGGCTCTAAGCTTGTGGTGAGAGACCACATACACAACACGGGGTTAGATTAAATTTCTCTTGTAACTAGCTCATTTGCAGCAAAGTGACCATGCAGACAAGAGCCACACCAACAGGTCTCCGTGTAGCCTCCCTCTACCCTCAGAGTGATACCAGTCATGCAAGCTAGGGTCGCCTGGGTCTGTTCTTAGTTCTTGATGCACCACCATCATTTTCCACTCAGTTCAACAGTCACCATTCAGGGGTCATGAAAAGGAATGTTTGTGTCAGTAGGGGCCCTCTCCTCTTCATGGGGCCCCAGTGGCCAGTTGATTAGAGCGTAGGACATCATTCTTCTGCCAGTTAGCATAGGTCTGTGCTGGCCCCACCTGCCTACTCTTTTTCCATCGTTGTAGGTTCTAGGTCAGTGAAGTGAAGTAGCATCTTACAGAATACAATAGAAAGAGGATCTAGTGGTGGAAGACTGCACCAAGACCTAATTAGTTTGCACTTGCCTTATGCAGTAAGTGTTTTCCTTATTAATAGATCCAGGGAGCTCAGTAGAAATTGGATGAGAAGGAAATGCAGATGAATGTTTATCTAACTCTGAAGGGAAAGAACTTAGCCTAAGAGTAGTGTAAGAAAGCACCATGGAAAAGACCTTCTCATTAAAAATTTTAAATTATACTAATAATACCATTAAGAAAGTGAAAAGAATGGGGGAAAGTATTACAAATATATATCTGAGAAAGGACTTATATCCAGACTCTACAAAGCTTTCTTATGATTCAATGATAAAAAAGGCTGATAATCCAATTTTAAAATGAGTAAGGGTGTTGAATAGACATTTCTCCAAAGAGGTTATACAGTAGGCAAATAGGCACAAGAAGAGATGCTCAATATCATGAGTCATCAGGGAAAGGCAAGTGAAAACCACAGGGAGGGACTACATCCCACCTGCTAGAAGGGCCAGAGCGAAAAGTCAGAGAGAAACGTGGTGAGGATGTGGAGAAATTAGAGCCCCCACGCATTGCTAGCAGGAATGTAACATAGTGCAGCTGCTTTGGAGAACAGTTTGGCAGTTCCTCAGAAAGTTAAAAATAGCCCAGTTGGCGTAGCTCGGTGGTTGGGTGTCAACCTATGAACCAGGAGGCTAGGGTCAGAGCTCATGCCTGGGATGCGGGCTCGTCCCCAGTGTGAGATGTGCAGGAAGCACGTGTCAGCAGTTCCCTCTCATCATCGATGTTTCCATTTCTCCCTCTTTTCTGAAATCAATAAGAATGTATTTAAAAAAAATTAAACACAGAGTGATCATATAGGCATATATCCCAGAGAAATGAAAAAAAACATCCATAGAAAAACTTGGACACCGTGTTCCTCTCAGCATTATTCATAACAGCCAAAGTGTAGACCTAACCCAGATGTCCATCAACTAATGGATAAATGAAAATGGCATAGCCATACTGAGGACTATGACTTGGCAATAATAAAGTAGTCATACTACAACACGGATGAAACTAAAAACGTGCCAAATAAAGAAGTTAGTTACAAGAGACCGCATATTGTATTATTCCATTTGTGTGAAAGTGAAATATCCAGAATAGGCAAATCTCTAGAGAGAAAAAGGTTAGTCATTGCGCAGCATGTGGCAAGGGAAGTGTGGAGGTTAGAGAGTGTACAGTTTCTTTTAATGTGTATGAAAATCTAAACTTAGGTGGTGGTTATGATTGCATGAGTCTATGGACTGAGAAATGGTGAGTATACCCTTTAAATGAATGCAGTATATGGTATGTGAGGTATATCTCAAAGCTGTTTAAGAATTTCTTAACCTCATAGGAAAAATGACAAAAGGCAAATTATAAACTAAGAAAAATATTTGCCACCATATTAGTAAAAAATTAATGTCCTCATGTGGAAGGAGCTCATATATAACAATGATGAAAAAAATTAAGATTTTAATTTAAAAACAAATAAAGGACCAAAACAGCTTAAAGAAATACTGTAATAAAAAGTAATTAACATGACGATTGGGTAGCTTTTTTTTTCTCCCTCTTAAATTTGGAAAGATTTAAAAAATATATATATATATTTATTGCTTTCAGAGAGGAAAGGAGAGGGAGAGAGAAATAAAAACATCAATGATGAGAGAGAATCATTGATTGGCTGCCTCCTGCACCCCACACTGGGGATGGAGCCCACAATCTGGGCATGTGCCTTTGGCTGGAATCGAACCTGAGAACCTTCAGTTC